TGGGGATACAGAGAAAGGCAAAAGCAGACCTTGCCCTCAGGGAGCTCACGCATATTCAGACAACTATCTACATATTTAACAGTGCATATGCATATGCATATTCTATACCTCCCCTGCCCCCTTCATCCCTGTCACCCCCAGTCAGAAGGGCAAGAATGCTACATTTCACTCCTTCCCCAGGGTTCTCTAGAGCCCTTCAGTGCCATTGGTTCGATCCATACAAACAGCATTCCCCTAATTTTAAGTGTCTCCAGCACTCTGGTTCCATTTAATCATATAGTAGATTATCTTTTAGAAAGGAATATTCACTTCAAATACATAGAAAGAGCAAGCATTAAGTTTTATCGAGTGGGTGGTCTATCTAACTTAAACACTCCATCCCTGTTCACATTCAGAGGCTTCGAAGCTACAAAGTGGATCTTCTCACTTGCTAACGTTAACAAGCCAGAGTTTACTGGAAAGCATAAGTTCATGGGATCATAGAATTTAGGGCAGAAAGGCTGCTCTACTTAGTTCAATTCAACAAGCATTTATTAGGATAGGATGATTGGGAGATGATGTGATGCAGTGAAAAGATACAATGGGGAAAGTCACAATTTCTTTGGGCCTCAGTTTCTTCATCCATAAAAGAAGGGAGTTGGTCTAGATGACTTCTATTGTCCCTTTGGGTTTTAAGTCAATGATTACTTGGAGTCAGGAAGACCTGATTTCGTATTCCGGCCTCTGACACTTACTATCTTTATCTGTTAAATGATGTTGTCTTTGAGGTCCTTTTCAACATATATATATACTTCCCACATCCAGAATACCTTCTTCTCTTCCACCCCTCCCATTTCTGTTCTACAGACCTGATCCTTCTTTTCTTCTCCCTCTATATCCTCTCTCTTGGAGATTTCATTAGCTCAAGTATCATCTCTACACAAATGACTCCCAAATCTATCTATCTCTCTAGTAAAGTTTGCCAAGTATTTTACAAGGACACTTACTGGCCGTGAGACCTTGGGCAAGTCACTTACCCTCTCTTTGCCGCAGTTTCCTCAACTGTAAATTGTGGATAATGGCCTGAATTAATTTCTTTAAGTATTGACTGATTTGATCTCCTCTCTATCCAAGAGACTCTCAAAAAATCTCCAGTACCACAATTCAAAAGCGTTGATTCTGTGGTACTCAGCTTTCCTTACAGTACAACTCTCACAGCCAGGCATCGCTAGTGGGAAAAAAAACCATAGCTTTGACTATATGGACTTTTGTTGGCAAGGTGATGTCTCTGTTTTTTTAGTCTGTTGTCCAGATTGGCCACAGCTTTCCTCCCAAGGATCAAGAGTCTTTTAATTTCATGACTGCAATCGCCGTCTACAGTGATCTTTAAGCCTAAGAATATAAATCTGACCCTGCTTCCATTTCTTCTCCCTCTATTTGCCAGGAACTGATGGGACCAGTTGCCAAGATATTAGTTTTTTTTTTTTGATGTTAAGCTTCAAGCCAGCTTTTACGCTCTCCTCCTTCACCCATATCAAGAGGCTTCATAATTCTTCCTCACTTTCTGCCATCAGAGAGGTATCGTCTACATGTCTGAGATTGTCCTTACATACCCAGCCTGAATCTACTCCAATGCCTTGCACCTGCTGCAGAGGCTTCACAAATGGTCATAACTGAACTAAAACATCATCTCAAACTCACTTCCCCAGTGACCACCCTCTTTCCTCAGGGATCTCTCCTTCCTTTAAGTTCCCATTGTGCCTAATTTCTAAGCAGTTCTTTGGTGCCCAATGTGATTGACCTGGCATTGATAGTGTGCTTGTCATGTGTCTGTTAGCTCCTGACTATCATCCACCTTTGATTCCTGACTTTGGCATGGAGGAGGTGAACTATGGCCTTGAAGTCTTTCTCAGCAGAACTCAAACTCTGCTAGGTCTCACAAACCTTGAAAGACTTTATGTATTGACCCAGGGTTGGACCACATGGCTTTTGTCCAAGGCCGTCATTATCACTAGGGCCATTCAGGTGATATTACGCTCCTTCCTCAGGAAAATGGGGTCCCATTAGAACATATTTTCTTTTCCACTTTGAATATGTTAAGGTTCAACAGATTCACTGCATATCAATGCACAAGGGCTAAGGAGGGGGCTGGGTCTCCCCCTCCTAGGGATGTCATCCTTATAACTAAATAAATCAAACATGGCCAAATCCTAGATGATTCGTACTTCTTTTGTTATTTCAGTTTATTTCTTATTTCTTCTTTTAATTTTATAGGGCAGCTACGTGGCACAGTGGTTAGAGGGCCAGACCTGGAGTCAGGAAGACTCTTCCTGAGTTCAAATCTGGCCTTAGACGCTTACTAGCTATGTGGTGAACCACTCCACTATTTTTGCCAAGAAAACCAAATGGGATCATGAACAGTCAGACACAACTGAGATAACTGAACAACAACAAAATCAGCCTTATTTCCAAAAATGTCACTCCTCCCTTCTCTATGGCTTCTGCTTCTTTTCACATCCCTATTCACTGTTTTCAGAAAAACCTGGGAAGACTTACATGAACTGATGCAAAGTGAAGTGAGAAGAACCAAGAAAACAGTGTACACCACAAAGCAATATTGTATGATGATCCTTTGTGAGTGACGTAGCTATTCTCAGTGACACAATGATCCAGGACAACTCTGAAGGACTTGAGGTGAAAAATGCTGACCACCTTCAGAGAAACACTGATAGAGCCTGAATGCAGATTGAAGCACACTTTAAAAAAATACTTTCTTTATTTTTCTTGTGTTTTTTTTTTAATCTGTGTTTTCTTTAACAACATGGCTAATATGGAAATAAGTTTTACATGGCTGCACATGCATAATCTATATCGAAGAGCTTGACTTCTCAATGAGCGAGAAGGAGAGGGGAGGGAGAGAATTTGAAATTCAAAATTGAAAAAAGAATGTTAAAAGTTTTTTTTACATATAATTAGAAAAATAAAATAGTTATGAAAAAATAAAGGTAGTAATTCAGCAATCACATCAGTCAAAAAAAAAATCCTGAGCCACTCTCTTCCCTCCCCCATCCCTTCCTCCTCAACTCCAAGTAATTTTTAAATTGGTGTAACTGCAGTGCTGTGAGTTTAAGGCTCATCTCATTATTGATATAAAGCTGGAAGGGACCTTTGAGGCTACTGTGTCCAACCCTCTCATTTTACAGATGAGGAAACTGAGGCACAAAGAGGTTGTAATGTGACCAGGGTCAAACAATTACTAAGTATCTGAGGCAGAATTTGAAGCCAGATCTTCCCAAGTTCAAGACTAGAGCCTCATCCATCATGCCATGCCCCCACAGTTTTCTATCCTACTTTCTTCCACTATTGTTGGTTATCTCAAGTCATTGTCACAGGATAGGAAGGCATGCTCACCTTCTCTGGGGCATCCATATAGGGTAGAAGACTGATGTTGATAGAGAGCTGAGTGGGCGATATGGATTGCTTGGGATACAGTGGGTGCTAAGGAGGCTAAGCATATTATTGTCCATAAAGGTCTGATTAGAGGGTATTCATGTTAATCAACCATGGGGGCCATGTAGACAAGGTCATTCATTGGAGTTATACAAGATGAATAGAACTCTGCCCAAGGATACTTTCATGGGAGTTTGCTTCCTCCCCAATGTGCCCATTATATTCTCACCTTGACTTCAAGGACCCTGGGATGACCATGGTTTCCAGTAGAGGGGATGGCCTATCCCCACAGATATTGAAGGATATATTAGACTTTGAGAGAGGACTGCCTCCTCCCAGAACCCTGTTCTTAAGGAACCCCTATTCTTGGGCCCGCTTTTCCCCTCAACCTCAAGGAATTGGGGGCAGGATCACCTCCCATCCTTCTAACATGTCAGCACTGAAGATCAGACTATGCTTTACATTGCCACCCTTCTTCCAAGTGAACAAATTTTTTTTGCTTTAGGTGAAAAAAATCCCTAGATTATGATTCTCTGATTCATCCAAACCATTTGTTTCCTTTCACAAATAAGTTTTCCTGAGAGCTGGAGAGATTATCTTCCCCCCCCCTCCACACACACCCACACACCCACACACACACACACTCACTCACATCATTCATTCCCCATTCCTTTCCTCCTCCAAATGCTCTAACAGAGGAAAATGCTTCCATTGGGCAAGAGCACATTGACTCAGAATGAGCCCAAGTTGTTAAAATTCCTTCTGTCTTAGTTCTCCAGCTATCCAATGTTGATTCAGGTTCCCATGCTTTGCAGTGTTAGGAGGGTCAATGAACAAAGATGAAATGAGAATCTCATAATGAGACAAGAATATAGAGTGCACATAACCTGTGCCTGGCTTCACTGACTTTTGGACAAGTCTATCTTCCAGATTAAATTAAAAAAAAAACTGTTAAAAACAGAAATTCTGAGAATACACAAAAGGTATTGCTCACTGCCCCCACAAATTACTGTCAATCTCCTTTCCAATGATATGTTAATTTGATAAAATTAACCATGACACAAAAAATTCTACCAAGATTCAGAGTAGATCGGTGGGTGGGTAGTAAAAGGGAGAGGGGGAGAATATTTTATCATAAGGAATCTATTTTGTGATAAAGTTAGTTATAAAACTCTGACATGTAGATCAAAGATAATTGAATCCCAGTATCATTGATGCAGTGTATAAAAAGTTATAGCCAGGATGGCAGCAGGGTTAGCTCCTTGAAATAGATAACCTTGAAGCAACTAAAAGACTATTAAATTAGAGTTTATTAAAAACAAATGATGTGGCCCAGTACATCCCAGGTAAGCAGCTGCCACAGATATAGCCATGAAAAGCTTACAGCTGTCCTTTCATGCTGAGCCCCACAGACATGGATCTAATTACAGCTCTGTGGCCAGGAGAAGGTTATGGGGGAAGGAGGCTCTGAGGGGGGTGGAGGGAGTTAGGAGCAGAAAATCAATTCAAATTACTTTGATGACAGTGACTTAGAGCTTCCCTCTAGCAAGACAGACATACCACTGTTAACCATGCTGGCAGCCAGGACCGGGGCTGTGGGCAGTAAGATCTCTGAAGAGAGCACAAAGTTACGGAAACAATCTGTGCTTTCTGTAGGGAGCAAAGACAAATCTCCCAAGAGGGCTCCAGAAAATGCAACAGACAACCAGCTCAGCACCTCGGACCTGAGCCAGCTCAGGGCCCGGCGTTTGGCTCTACTACGTGAACTGGAAATGAACTGGTATTTGAAAATATGGGACCTGTCATCTGAGCACACTGTCGCCCACACGACCGGGATGCCTCATAGGTAAGATTCTTTTCATCTTTGCTGTTACTCGTCTTCGAAAGGCATTTTAAAGAGAAAGTTTAAAGAAAAAACTTGAAAAGTACAAGTAACTCAAACTGGTTGGTTTGTTTTCTTTCCACATCATGGTACCATCCTCTATCAGTTCTAGTTTCTTTATGGCTGACTGACACTTTAGAAAAGGGAAAACCGGGGGTGGGGTGGAGGAGCAGGAACTTGGTGAAAATGGCAAATAACACCACCTCTATTGTTCTCCTGACAACCCTGGGATGAAGGTGGGGGAAGATGCTCTATAGTTGTATATGCCATTAAAATTTCACTTTATTAATAGCTGAAGAACTGAAAGCACTATATCTAGGACAGGAAATCTTTAATTTAAAGAAAACAAACAATCCTCTTCCATCCTGCCTCCTTCTTTCATTTTGAGAACGTGCAGGGGTAGCAGTGGGAATGATGAGAAGGAAGATGACATCTGAGGTTGTTTCCCAGACCTAATTCAATGATCCAGGAGCAGAATTCATATGGTTCCCAGTTGCTGATCTTTCAGTTGCATCCCGTTTCACATCTGTAGCCGTATGTTCCCGGGTACGAGCTGGGCAACCAACTTGTAGCCTGGGTGTGCTGGTGCTGGTGAGGAGTAAACATAGATTGCTGGTGTGGTCCAACTCACGGCTGATTAAATTTCAGACCATGTTCAGAAGTCAGGAGAGAAAGTTGAATTTTTTAGATCATAGGTACTGCAAAGAAAACCCCTGCGGCATTCCTTTCAGCTCTTTTCCCAGACTGGCTTCAAATAATTCAAGACAAGACCGGTTTCACAAATCCCAAGTGTCATTGGGACAAAACCCATGAACAAAGCCTGGGAAATTCTGCCATCCAGATATATTTAGAAAATGAATTTGATGCTCCTGGTCTTAGAAACGTAGAATCCCGGAATGAGAGCTGGAAAGGACCAAAGAGGTCTTTGGTATATGGATGAGAAAATTGAGACTCACACTGATGAAATGACTTGTCCAAGGTCACACATAGGATCCTAGATTGACAACTAGAGGGGACCTCAGGCTATTCAGTCCAATCTCCTTATTTTACTCATGGAAACTGAGCTCAGGGACATTCAGGGACTTACCCAAGATTTGAACCCAGGACCTCCGCCTCCCAAGCCAGTGTATTGCAGGAACATATAATTGGAACTACAAGGGTCTTTAGAGGTGATGATCTAGTCCAGGAGTGGGGAACCTGAGGCCTCGAGGTCACATGTGGCCCTCTAGATCCTCAAGTGTGGACCTTTGACTGAGTCCAAACTTCACGGGACAAATCCCCTGAATAAAAGGATTTGTTCTGTAAAGTTTGGATTTAGTCAAAGAGCCTCACTTGAGGACCCAGAAGGCTACATGTGGTCTCAAGGCTGATCTAGTCCGGATCCCTCATTTAATTCACAGGAAGTTTTCATAGGAGTAAAGATAATTTTCTGGAAATAATGACTTAGGGTACTCATTTTTAATTACTTGCTTTAGGAATTCAGGATTTCCTTGGTGTGCGTACTCCCCTCCTTGCTGATACAGACTGGAGAGCCCCTGTGACTTAGGCAGTGGGGTTTAAGAAGTATCATGGCCAGAGAAAATCACTGCTTTGTGGTCAACTTGTTTCTCATAAGGTTACAGCAAATTGATTAGAAATGAAGCATTCCAATGAAACGGGTAGAACATCCCAAGCTCCTGTTCGAAGAAGCAATATGATGAGTGCCAGCCCAGGATGAAGATTGCCTCACGGGGTTGAAGCCCTGTGGACGCTTCTCTGTGTCAAAGCCATCTGCCCCACCTTGAGGATGCTTCAGACAGGTATTTCAGATACTGAGAAGAGTAGATTCAACAAGGCATTTATTAAGCTCTTGCTTTGTTCAAGACACTGGGCTTGGAGCTAAGGATATGGAGATGAGTGAAAAGTCTCTGCCATCTCTGCCATAATGTGTTATATTGGAGGTGAGGAGGAGGTGGGGAAGGAAATGCTATATGTATACAAGTAGTTACCAAGTATGTGCAAAGGAATACAAAGTTTTAGGGGAGGGAGCTCGTGGTGAAGGTGGTCTTTTGACCTAAGCTAGGTATTACATGAAGGAAGCTAGGTATTCCATGAGGAGCACCTGCAAGACATGGGAGAGATCACCTGCAATCAAAGGCATAGTGGTGTGAAAGAGACTTCCCTGCCCGGAGAACAGTCAGCAGGCTAATTGTACTGAGAGGGATGGTGTATTAACGAGAGTCACACAGAAAGGTGGGAGTCAGAATGTGCAGGGGCTGCACTGAAGATTCTTATCAAAAAGGCCATAGGGAGCTATCAAAGATTCTGGAATGAGAGAAGGGCATCATCACATCTCTGATTTGGCAGCTGTGTGGAAGATGAGTTGGAGATGGGGAGAAACTGGAGGTAGTGAGACCAATTGGGAGACTATTGCAAGACATTACAAGAAAGTTTATTTAGCAACTGAATTAAAAAGTTGGAAACTTCAAAAGATCATCAAACCCAGAGACTTTGAATGTCTCCTTGCCGAAGCATCGATAGAATGGCCTGATCTGGATTTACTCCATTATTCAAAAAGACATCTTTATGAAAATGAATGAGATAAAGCTTTTAGTGATCGTGGAATCATTTTAAGACCTGTGAGGGGCTGGGGCATTGGGAGCAACAATCACAGATAAGCAGAGAGCAAGCAATTCACCGGACTCTGGGGAGCAGACTTGAGGTTGAATGGTGCCATTCAGGGGCAGCTTCAATGAGATTGGCATTGATGGGAACTGTACATTTAAGGCCCAATTCATAAATCCATCATGAAATAAGCCTCTGGAAAAGAGTCAAATGGCAAAGAGAACCTCCAGTAATGGCTTCCTTACATAACATTTCCTTTCATTGACTATCGACCAGAGATGTGCCTTGTGGGAGTCCAACATCCACATGACTAGACAATTGCTGCTCCACAGGCCAAAATGTAGCCCATTTCTCCATGACATTAGCTCTACGTGGCTGGTGTCTTCCTGACAGATCGGAATAGTACCTAAGGTAGGAAGATTTTTAGGAGGAAAAAAATATATATATAAATTAATTTTAATGCTGTATCATTTGATTATTTAGAACAATTTGTAATATTCTCTTCTCTGTAAAAAGGCTAGCTTGAAGAGTACCCTTCCCAGCTAAAGGATGTCAGGAGCATTCCAGCTCTGCTTAAGGCGTCTGGGCAGGACCCCACCCAATTGGGAAACCTGATTTGTATCTAAGGCATAAACAGGATCCAGTTTGGATGAGGTCTCTCCCCAGGGGAAAGAGTTCCTGTCTTTGCTCCCCTTCATCAGAGTTTAGGGTGACCCGCTCATGAAGGAGAAACTAAACCAGACAGAACCTGGTCTGGGGGCCCAGATTGCTAGCAGGAGCTCAAAACTCATGGCCAGACCATTTCTCAGCTGAAATCCCTCCTCCCCCTCAATGATATGGTAATTGGGACAGATGGGGAGCTTTTAGCCCACCTCCCCATTTACTGTCCACAAATTAGGATTGAATTTCATTTGCAAGGGGAGTGCCCTGTCAGAAGGAACACTTCTGTTTCCCTTCCTCATCTTTGGTTACTGAGAGAAACTACTGACCATTAATTTAATGATTATTGGCTAGCCTAATTAAGAAATTGATTATCGACACTCAGAAACTTTGTCTCTCAGGGTTTTAGTTGCAACAATGCATACATCTGTATATTATGTTTATACCCATACATTACTCTGTCTCTATTTCTCTGCTGCCTATCTTCTTTTTTGATTTCTTTGTGCAATGAGAAGTCCAATTAAGTGTAACCCAGGATCAATGGGGTATCTATGAACACATGACTAGATTTTGATTATGATTTTTGGCTGGACCTGTATTATCACTGGGGTAAGGAGCTCCTGGTGAGGGACTTTCAATGCCAATTCAGAGACGTTTTGGGGAGAGCTCAAGTGAGTTTTTGCCTTTTCTCTGCCATCTTGACTCTACCCCCCCATGCCAATTCAAATTGATAACTTCTCTGTAACTTATAGTCTTATTGAGAGAGTCACCTGGGGGCACTAATAAGTTAAGTGATTTGTCCAGAGTCACCCAGCCGGTTTGTGCCAAGGGTAGAGCTTTAAATCAGGCTTTCTAGACCCCTAGGTCAATTCTCTATCAATGATGCCACCCTGGATGTGTACACATACATACATACATATATACATACATACATATGTACATACGTACACACAATACAAATACATACATACATACACATCTCTCTGTTGCCTGTCTCCTTTTTCTTTTTAAGATATCTTCATTTAATAAGGAGAATCAGGTTTTGTGTGATCTAGAACGAATGGCTTCCAAAGCTCACTTGGAGGGATAATGCTAGTCATCCTTGATCTGCAATGACCTTGTCTGTCTCTTACTTAGTGTGGGGGAGAACCATAGATGCCTTGTCTACCTTACACTATAAAACTTTAACACAGTAACTTCCTATTCACTTGGAACTGACTGCATTCGTTAGGAAAGTCCCTTCATTGTACAGCTATGTCTTTATGTTGCTCAGAAAATCATGACAACTTCCTTTTTTAAGGCAGATTTGTTGAGCAGTGGGAAGGAACCCTGGATTGAGAGTTAAGATGTTATGTGTTATGTGTTCAGTCATGTCTGACTCTTCATGACCCTATGGACCATAGCACACCAATGCTGTCCATGGGGTTTTCTTGGCAAAGATACTGGAGTGGTTTGCCATTTCCTTCCCCAGTGGAACACTGATCCATAGGCAAATAGGAGTTAAGTAACTTGCCTGAGGTCACATAGCTAGGAAGTTTCTGAGGCTGAATCTGAACTCAGGTCTTCCTGATGTCAAGCCCAGAACTCTACTCACTGTGCTACCCAGCACCCAAGATGACTTGTGTTCAAATCTAGCCTCAGTAGATAACCAGTATAGTGAAGTGTCTTGAGACCCTGTCATATGAGCTCAGACACTTACT